GTTCATCTCTTATTGCTAAAAGTAGTCTGAAGAGAAGAATTATATTGAATGTTTAAGTAAACTCTTTCCTTTGAAATCTCCACTTTCACCAAAGAAAAGTGGTTTGCCACTGCAGTGAGCTACATAATACTCTCAAGTCTTAAAGGGCGTTTTCCAGGTTTATTTAACTTCATCTTCCGCTATTTGTTGACTTTATCTCGAGATCCATGTTTAACAATTGTTTCATAGTATGAAAGTAACAGATTATTGTACAACTAATCATATTAACAAGAAAGGTCGTATTATTTTATTTCACAATTTTGTACTCGTAGTCTGAACCCTGTCCTTAGCAAGTAAATAACTCTAAATATTCAAACCTTCTAAAAAACGGCTTGATTGACTTTGATGCAAGATTTATATGTTATTGTCTTTTTAATTTAAAACAAAATGGTACAACCAACAAATCTGTAATAGTTACAGTTAAAAAGGGATTACAAATATTGTGGTTTTACCTATCAAATACAATGATTACTCCCACCGCTTACACATTCATTTTATGGTTTGTTAGCTAGTGGAAGAAAGTATGTGGCAGTTGACTGTTATAATTCATTCAAAAACTCTTTTTGCGATTAAAAAAAAAAGAACATTTATAAAATTGTATCAGAGACAAATGCAATCAACCCTTCAAAAACAAGCATATGTACACGTCTTCCTAACTGAACTAATTTCTTTAATGCTGTGTTTCTTTGATATATAATGTTAGAATAAAATACCTTAGACTTTGCTTACATTTCGTACCGAGGCTGTGTAAAATCTACCCTAAGATAAAAAAGTGTATTTGTTCACACTTGGGAAATAGGGGTGAAAAATACACTTAGAGCAAACAATGGTTATGGTAGTTTCTTAGTAGCCCCTGATGACTTACACAAAATTTAGATTGACTTGAAAAAAACCATCGACTTGAGGAATAATATGTAAATAGTATGTGTAACCATCACTATACCATAAATTAAGATGCGGAAGCCATATAGGTGTTTTCTTCTCTTGTGTTTTTTTTTTTTTTTTTTTTTTTTACATAAGTTGGCCTTTGCTAGGCCCCCACCCCAATGAAGGAATAATGAGAAGATGATTCAAATCCCGAAAACCTTGGTTGAATGATTACAGGGGATTCTAAAGATATGTAACACATCATACTAATACTAATAAACCATATTAGTATGGTTTTTACCAATTATAGATAAAATATAATAAATTAAGTGGGACTTTACATTTAGCTACAACTTCCCCTTTTAAAAATATTGGAATTATAATTTACTCATGAGTTGAAATGTACAATGTTTCTTGAAACATTTACACTAGAAACAGATTCAATGTAGGGACAAATTATCCAAAAATATTGTAGTATATATTAGCTGTTAAGGGTCTTTGGAGAAGGATTTTCATAAACAATATTTAAAGTAAAATATTTAAAAACCAATAAATTACGGAATTTAATATTCAATAATGTTGATAAGAATGTCTCATAGACTCAGTCTGTCAAGTGGCCAGTCAGTTGTGTGTAATGGGGTGGAACAGCTGAGTAATTATCACAATCAGCTGTTACCCTCACCTCCCCTCGCCATTGATCCTCTGTAGTTAATGAGCTCAACCGATTTACATTGTCCGCTGTGCTTTAGATATATCACAATGGTTAAGCATAGCTTGCATTATCAAAGCTAAATACTGTTTTTTTTTTAGAAACCTACTAAAATTAAGTTTAATAAATAAATATGAGGTAGTTAGGTTACGTATAGCCACAATTACCAATTATTATTCCGTTGTGACATAACCTATTCATTTGCATACAAGACATCAAATTCAAGGAGTGTTTATTCAAGTTACTGATTTGAATTTGAAACTGAATTTCTGTAGTACGCTAAAGGGAATCATACCCATTGACTACCTTTAACCTAAGTATTAGGTATGAAAGTTGTAGGTCTATTTATAGAATTATTGTTTATTAAAATTATTTTATTTATTTTTTATTTTGACGTCTTTGAAATTACTATTCTTGAGATTAAATACCTTGTTGTCAACGTAATCCTTGGTAGTCTTAATGGCAACTAGTTTCTACGCACTAAAGGTGTCATGTAAAAATGAAGTCTTTGAAATGCTAGATTAAATTTAAGTTTTTAAACATAAGAATACTAGTTGTACAGTTTAATGTAATTTTAATTCTGATAAGACATTAAATATATTAAAAGAACAAAAATACAATTTAGGGAATTACTACAAAAGATTAGTGAACAAAGCTCTATTTGCATAGAAGAGAATATCGTTATCACACTAATAGTAAAGCTTCCAGTTCACATTAGGAGTGATTTAAACCGCTTATAGAGTAAAATATTGGACATTCATAGAAAACAATTCTTTACCCAAATATAAAAATTGTTGATGGACCCATCCAGAAGACTATAAATAGAACTAACTAATTTAACTAATTCATCAAATTAAACTATAAATAAAGTATGACCGCAATAAACCTTTGAACAACATTAACTCACCATCAACAACAATGAACTTCAAACAAAGAGTATGGTAGTCCTTTTAAATTGAGTAATCGAGTGTATAAAATAACTGATAACTCGATTGTTTATCATCAGATTTTTTAAAATTTAAATTCTCTATCTGTTTTATTATAAAACAATTTTTAAGAATTTTGGCATTGCAGATTTTAAATGGAAGCCATCTCAAAATGGCTAAATATATTGGAACGCATTTTTTTAAGCTTTCTTACCTTGTAAACTACACATTTAAACCAATTTTGAAATTTATATCTTGAAAAATGCCTAAGATGTAAAATAATTTTTAAAGTCACAAACAGACCAACAGACATAAATCCAAGCATTCTTATATGGAATTTTATGTTTTGTATTAGCTCAAGGAACAAGTTTACAAAATATGTCCAGACAATTTGGAAACACTCTGTATAGAATGGATTTTTTAAGGTACACAAAAGACATAAGTTAATCAAATCACTCACGTACTTTTTGCTGAAATGAATATTTTTCAAAAGGATTTCCAACAGACAATTAGTTCAATAAGATATAAATATAACATTGTACCCACGTGGGAGGTTGTCTGTTTTATAATGTATTTCTGAGAGCGTTGTGGCGATTGATGATAGGTATATTTGATGGTATCCATTCATTGGTTATCCATTCAAAATGGTGCTATTTATCCCAAAGTACTTATTGTACCCTTCATCAACTGCACAGTGCACACATCGAACATCGGCTTGTTATTTATATTATGTCCTTCTGTTTGTTTTCACTCGAATGGTTTTCTACAGGTTTCAAAAAAGTTTTTAAACGTGACATAGTCTAGTGCAGGAAAATGCGACCAGAAAAGCAGTGCATTTTCGGCACAGAGTCTTGTTTCTCACGTTTCTTATTCAAGTGTTCTTCATATTTGTCAAAAAGATTCCATGGCATTCTTTTACCACGTTTTGTCATGTATGATGTAATGAGTGGTGACTCTGTCATCTGGTTGTATCAGTGGGACGTTCAATGTTGTTTATAATGTGTACTTATAAAAGGCAAGTGATAAAAAAATCTTTATTGAATTTTTTTTTTTTTTTGTAGGGTCTAATAACAAAGTTTGACCAACCTCCTGATAATCCTCATTTTATTTATCTTCGTCCGCTGGGTAACAGTTTGGATGAGTCAGAGTTTTGCACAATTAGTTGACCAATACATTTTTACAATAAATTGGAGATACATTTTTGTAAAAAATGAGTTGCAGTTAACGTTAGTATGGCCAAATATATTTCCGTATTTCTTAGACTTGACTAAACACAATTAAGTAGTCTGTTTCGAACAAACAGTGTATTAACGTTAGCCTAGGACGTAGTTAGGAATTAGACAGATTTGTCATAAATTATTTTGTAATAATCTCAGTGTAAATGCCAATAGTGTAACACTACCTCAAATTAAACAAAATTACAGTTTTTTTTACTGCTAAGAAGAATTCCTAATGTAAATATATATCACTTCTTTTGCACTGTAATTTTCGCCAAAAGCATTTGTTTCTAATTCCCTTAAATTTTTTACTTGGTTTTTCTGTTATTATGGTTTGTATTTCAATTTAATAACTTTTATTTTTATTCTTGATTCGTTGTGTATATTAATCCATTACAGAAATTACACGAAAAGCAAGACATCTGTCGTCTAACCGTCCTATATCTGATCTTAGTATGGATTTTTTTTTGTATTTATACTAGAGTGACATGTCTCTTTCTTACGCAGATTTATACTTAGCTATGTCTAAATGTATAAGTAATATGGTCAAGAATAGTACAAATATAATTGATGTAAAAAATATTTTATTAGTAAATATTTTATGTACATATATTAAGGGTAATAATATTGCATTAGATAGGTAAAGAGTAATAAAATAGTTGGTATTTTTTTAAATAATAATAAAAGTCAGACAAACATCAGAAATAATATAACTTAATAATAATAATATAATATATAATTTTTATTTTATGAAAAATATAAAAAAAGAAATATCTAATAAATATTACATTCTTTAACTTAATTACATTTAAACCTGTTTAAAAATATTTTACGAAGACAATATATCACAATAATTAGCGAACAATATTACAAAATGCTACATTGGTGTCATATCTGTGTAAGAAGAAATGTAACAACAATGTCGGATGAATGATAAAACTGTTCCAGCATGCAAGTACAAAAGGCCAACGGTTATATATAGTTGAAGATAATATATTACGAATTATTGAATAGTTTTACTGAAAATTAAAATCATTATGATACTATATTCCTAGCAATACTTTTATAGAAGAATCAAAACAGGGTTTAACACATATTTACTGTATCATAAAGATTTTTCCATTATATTTCTTTTGAAAATTTATATTTTACATCTAGCTATGTTCATAAGTAACTATGAACTACGTAATTGAATATGTTGCTTGACATATTCTCTCAAGCAAGATATTCTCTCATATTCAAGACGCACTATTTTATGGAATGGATTTATTTGCACAACAGACTCGTTTTTAATACAACAGGCAGAATATAATAATTTTACGGATTGTATATTTACAAATACTAAAATGCAATTTACATAAATATATTTTAATGTTGAAACATTATATATATCAATGCACATGAATGATATGATAATGATATAAAGGAGTTTTAACAATATGTTAAGAGTTATAATAAAATATATGATAGAATTTAAAGCTACTTTATACAAAGCACGTTTACATCGTATATTAGGACGTCAATTCTTTAAACTTACGATAAAACCTCAACCGATTCTTACTTAAATATAATATTTACACTAGACAAAGTTACTATACAAAAGGTAACAAGTGACAATTCATCGATAAAACTGTACAGGGCTTTATAAGCTATTCTAAGTAACGCAAAACTGACGTTCGTGAAGTGAAATATTGTAAGGCAAAATTCTAGCAAATATAACAGCGGAATGAATGTATACGATGTAATGTTCTGACTTATCAGAACGAGACAAAAACTAACCATGTGTACACCATCATTTAGATACTATTTACACTTTATCAGATTTTCTGTTACAGTAATCGAAATGTATTCAAAATATGTTTCAACCAATTGTATCAATTTGTAATAATCAGCAGATATATTTTGGTTTTAACTGAACCTAATGGCTTGTATGTATGTAAATATAGTCGAAACATGAATTATCATATAAATTGAATCTTCTTTCCTACGTCTTATTTAGCTTTGTGATATTAAACCATACGTACATAAACTACAATTTGTGTTTTGGATCTAAATCATAAATAACAAAACCAACACGCTACATACAACATGACTATTACTAAACTATTCATTCTTTCTATTACAACTTAAAATAAACATTATTACAACTTAAAATAAACATTACTATAGTCATTAAAATTCAATATTTATTTACCTAAAATAACATGTATACATTTTATACATTTGTCATGGCTAGAAAATATGTCTATATATTTAATCAATTGATCATTTTTAGTTTGAAAGTTATTGATACCACTACAATACTTACAAATGTCTAAAGTCTAGTGTAATGTGTATTATGCTAATGGCTATTGAGGAATGTTCGGATGGACTGTACCAGGCCAGCAGCCAGTATCAACGGGCTGCTCTTCTTCCTTAGCTAGGGATTCGACTGTGAAGCCATCCTGATCCTCGCTGTCTCGCGAGATTTGTTGTGGATCTCTGTTGTCCTCAAAGTGATACCGAAGATGTCCTCGTGGTAGCGGTTTTCGTCCTGGATTTTAAGAAAAGGTAAGTTAATATAATTTTAAAGTTGATGTTCTAATCAATTAGAAAATTATATTCAACGGTTTTATGGCATCATACTGACTTTAACATTTAATTAATTATGTTTGAGGTGATAACCTCTTGAAAAATCTTAATTACCATTTATACGACAATCATGCTGTCTCTGTCTCGATGGCTTTATAACTTTAAAGAAAATTTGATTCACATTTTCGTAAATGAACGGCAGCCCATGTCCACCCATTACAACTTCACTACAGGGATAGGAGAGATTTCCATCTCCCATCAACCCTACGTACTCACCCTGAGTGTAAGCATGTAGTTTTCCACCTGCTCAGCCGTCATGTTGCCTTCTGTCTGCACTATGACCTTGAGGATTTGCAGCGCATGTTCACCCATTACAACGTCACTACAGCGGTAGGAGATATTGCCACCTCACATCAACCCTACTTACTCACCCTGAGTGTAAGCATGTAGTTCTCCACCTGCTCAGCCGTCATGTTGCCTTCTGTCTGCACTATGACCTTGAGGATTTGCAGCCCATGTTCACCCATTACAACGTCACTACAGCGGTAGGAGAGATTGCCACCTCACATCAACCCTACTTACTCACCCTGAGTGTAAGCATGTAGTTCTCCACCTGCTCAGCCGTCATGTTGCCTTCTGTCTGCACTATGACCTTGAGAGTTTGCAGCCCATGTTCACCCATTACAACGTCACTACAGCGGTAGGAGAGATTGCCACCTCACATCAACCCTACTTACTCACCCTGAGTGTAAGCATGTAGTTCTCCACCTGCTCAGCCGTCATGTTGCCTTCTGTCTGCACTATGACCTTGAGAGTTTGCAGCCCATGTTCACCATTACAACGTCACTACAGCGGTAGGAGAGATTGCCACCTCACATCAACCCTACTTACTCACCCTGAGTGTAAGCATGTAGTTCTCCACCTGCTCGGCCGTCATGTTACCTTCTGTCTGCACTATGACCTTGAGGGTTTGCAGCACGTGTTCAGCCATGGTGACGTCACCACAGACGTAAAAGTGACCTCCCTCACACACCAACTGTCTGTACAGTGACTTGGCCTCGCCTCGCATCAGATCTTGTACGTATGTCTGTAAAGCAATAATTGCTCATTATACAGGATGATTAATATGAGTGTGCCAGCTGTGTTATTCGAAAACTATAAGAGATATCAAAATAAGTTAAACGGTAAGTGCCTTAGATTTTTTATTTTAAAAATTGAAATCAAGTCAAATAAAATATTTTAGCCGCCATTTTTTTAATATGCCCGCCAACTTTGAATTTTCTTATGCCCTGTATTTTATGATGTATTCCGGTAGAAAATGTCATTTTACGACAATTTTACTCCTTAGTTTTTTCATAAACCTAATCGTTTCAAAGATAATAATGGTTAAGGTTTTGAAATTTCGGCATGAGAAAGGGTTTCCATAAAGACCTAACAAGCATGCCATCTGTTTTATTCGAAAACTATTCAAAATTTCACAACTTTAACCTTTATTATCTTTGAAACGATACGGTTTCATCTACTTAATACGGTTTAAGTATTAAGTAGACTACCTCTTGAGACACTGTAGGAAATTACTATTTTTTTGTCCGAGAAAACAAGAATAGGAGATAAAAAGGTTGATACATCTACATAGAAATACGTTTAAACTACAATAAATGAGATATTGCCTGGACGGTTGATCGTAGTGAAGGCAAAACCATGTCGGTGTCAACGTATTTGCATTTAGGTGTTTCAGTAATAGTTGTGTTTAGGATGGGCAATTATCTCGATGTAATATTGATTTATGCGTCCTTCAATGAATATAAATATTGTATGGTTGACAATTAATGTATAAATACACAAACAAGAATATAACATTTACCTTAGCTATCGTTGGCTCTCTTGACAGTGCGAGATAAGATTTTTCTAAGATTGCTTCAGTCACCATTTTTTCTTTCTCTTCTTTGTGCAGATCTAAAGATCGAAGTCTACAGCCAAAGAAAAGTGTCATCTTGCCCAAGTTTTTGAGTCCTACAAAAAATTACTATTTTGTTAACGAGAGCTTATTTAACAAATATATATTTCAGAAATGAATAACAGCTAAATATATTCCATTAATATAAAGGATTTGCTTATGGCTTAAAGCCGGGTTTTCCTAGGCGCGGAGTCGGCCAGCGGAGAGAGGAACGCGGAGAGCGGACTCAGCTTGTCCTAGGTAATTTAATGTTACTGTTTTCCTAGCAGCGGAGCGGAACGCCATGTTAATTTCAATTCCGCTCTCCGCGTTCCTCTCTCCGCTCGCCGACTCCGCACCTAGGAAAACCCAGCTTTAGTGTATTTTATATTAAAACTAAATATTGCTCAATTATAATTAAGTATAAATGTCAAATTAATATAAATATTTTGAAATAGAAATTTACATAAACAAAACTCTAAGGCAAAAACTAGTAACTGGACTTTTCTTTACATGTAATTACATATTTCCAGCAAATGTTTTGCTACAATATCTACAGTATAATATATTGATTGAAAACCAACCTTGCCTCCTCTTGAGTGCGTATCTGTGTTGCCAGAAGCCTCTGAAAGGAGCAATGCCAGTCCCGGGGCCCACCAAGATACAAGGTCTGGACGAGTCCTCTGGCAAATGGAAGTTGGGAGCACTGAAAATTATTGTCATTTCGTTACTTGAAAATTGGTGGTAATAATTTAATCGAAGTTTTATTATTTTACATAATTATTATTATTGTTGTTGTGTTTTTAAAGTAAACAGTTTTGTTATTTACTTCCTCATGAATATTAGTTTGATAGCAGAGCACTATGATGCCTACGGCTACACAACATGCACATGTATTAAACATATTTAATTAATTTCATAAATTACATTATTCTTGTTCAAATAATACGTCCATTTTATTTTCCAACATAAAAATTAACATACTTTGACATCGTTTGTGTATTAGAACATATAACGTGATTTTTTTCTCTTTTTGAAGATGTACAAATAAGTACTCAGTGTATTAAGTAATGATGATATCGTATATGGTTCAACACGTGATACTAGGCTGTGATTGAATAAGAACATAAGTACGGTACATTACCTTCTAACGAATAAGTACACTTTTTCGCCTTCTTTAATCCTGTAGAGGTAGTTAGAGCACACACCATAATGCATCGGACCTTCACCATCTGAAGAAAAATGCGTATAAACAGCTTATCAATTATTATCAATCAATTAATTGAGATGGGGACGCCACCTAGGTGTGTTTAAACCCACCTATATAATTGAATGATAAGTGATATGAGTGAAGGATGAGTGTAGAAATATGTGAGGTGACCTGTTGTGAGGGAATTTCCGTGTGTGGGTCGATTTCGTTATCTTATCGCCAAAGATAGTTCAGCAGTGCTGGGTTTAAATTTCCAGGGGTCGATGTGAATCAACAAAATATTGTTGTTCTGAAATTCCACTCAATATTAATTTCGTCTCGAATAACCTCAAGTGTCGATCGTCTGTGTTTAATCAAATTCCTTTATTGAAATGATAGGGTAACTCAGTGAAATGTGCGAACCAGTTGTCGCTATTCACTCATCATCGTTACCCTACCAGACGCGGAAGAAAACGTTGTCGTGTATTATCTATGTGTCGTGTTATCTGTTAATTCAATTCTCGCGTTAGAGTCTATTTCAAGAATTAAGTTCGATAGCTTGTACAGCTAGTTAGGATGCTGAATGTTCTTCGAGCAAACTAGGATCGGTATCAAAGGTTATAGGATCAAACTAAACCTTGCTACGCTCCGATCGTTACCCTAACCCCACGCAAATGCGCTCTATACAACCAAGAGGGTAAGGATAGATAGCCTGCACAGCTAACTAGGATGCTGAATATACTTCAGCAATCTAGGATAGGTTACGGTAGGTTAATCGTTACCTAAACGCCCGTATAAACCTCGTTCGCTACCCTAAACCCCACGCAAATGCACTCTAAACAACAAAGAGGTTAAGGATAGATAGCCTGCACAGCTAACTAGGATGCTGAATATACTTCAGCAATCTAGGATAGGTTACGGTAGGTTAATCGTTACCTAAACGCCCGTATGAACCTCGGTCGCTACCCTAAACCCCACGCAAATGCGCTCTAAACAACAAAGAGGTTAAGGATAGATAGCCTGCACAGCTAACTAGGATGCTGAATACACTTCAGCAAACTAGGATAGGTTACGGTAGGTTAATCGTCACCCAATCGCCCGTGTGAACCTCGTTCGCTACCCTAAACCCACGCAAATGCGCTCTAAACAACAAAAAGGTTAAGGGCAGATAGCCTGTACAGCTAACTAGGATGCTGAATATTCTTCAAGCAATCTAGGATAGGTTACGGTAGGTTAATCGTTACCTAAACACCCGTATGCACCTCGTTCACTACCCTAACCCCACGCAAATGCGCTCTAAACAACCAAAAAGGTTAAGGGCAGATAGCCTGTACAGCTAACTAGGATGCTGAATATACTTCAGCAATCTAGGATAGGTTACGGTAGGTTAATCGTTACCTAAACACCCGTATGCACCTCGTTCACTACCCTAACCCCACGCAAATGCGCTCTAAACAACAAAAAGGTTAAGGGTAGATAGCCTGTACAGCTAACTAGGATGCTGAATATTCTTCAAGCAATCTAGGATGGGTTACGGTAGGTTAATCGTTACCTAAACACCCGTATGAACCTCGTTCGCTACCCTAAACCCACGCAAACGCGCTCTAAACAACAAAAAGGTTAAGGGTGGATAGCCTGTACAGCTAACTAGGATGCTGAATATACTTCAGCAATCTAGGATAGGTTACGGTAGGTTAATTTGGATAACTAAGACCCCCACTATCCTTTAAAGATCCCAAACAATCAACAGGCTAACGCTAGCTATGCGAGCACTAAAACAGCTATCCTAGGCTATTTATATAACAGCTATTTATATTTATGCAATCGCTAAAGTAAATCAAGTTGGATAATAATAATAAGTATTATTATTATACGAAATAAAGATGTCATTAACCAATCGGTTGTTAGGCTATTATAGCTAGCGGCTATTCAGATCAAAATCAAATGCTATATCGCTAGTCAATGTCGAGGATCCAATCACTAACAACTATAATCAACGGCTAAATATAAACTATTATTCCGGTAGTAGATTCGGTGTTAACTTCGATAGCTATCGATTCCAATACGATCGATAGTTCGGATCAGACGCAAAATAATAACAAAACGTCGAGCAAAACACTGTTGTGTTGTGCGTGGCAAATAGGTTATGTCGTTATTAAATCGTAAACACCTTATAGCTAATTAATTGTGTCTCGTAACTCTCTCTACGTTGAATTAAGTACCAGAAATTCGTTAAGCATACAAGATAGGGTAGTAGGCTATAGAATGGCGTACACTGCCCAAAGGATGCTGCTTATACTTCAGCAAAAGGAGAGGTGTTTGGAAGGCAACATTGAGTTTATATGACGTTATATTACACAAGCTTAGGCTATTGTCACCCTCAAATTATATAGTTTTCCAATAACAACTAGGGTAAGGCTTAACCTATTAAATCACTCCTTAACTGCGATACAAGAGGGTTTAGGTAATTGAGTAGCGTGTTCTGCCCAAAGGATGCTGCTTATGCTTCAGCAAAAGGAGGGATATTGGAAGGTGACACAGAGGCTATGTAATATAAGATGTGTAGGTAAAAATCCTTTAGAATACTCAATTGGCCTTGCTCAACTTTTGCTTTCCTCAATAGCCTAGTGTATGCTAACTCGTTTGGATTTTATATAGCTAGTCGGCAAAATTTCTTTAACTTCAAACTAATTATTTCACAATTTAAAATCTAAATTAAATTGCAAAAATACCAATTGATCACTGATCAAAATCGAAAACCTCGTTTATCGTGAACAAATTATCGCAAACAATTAATCAATATCGATCGTGAATATCCAAACGTAAAACAACTAGTTTCCCTGAATCATAAAATGATATCAAGTAGGCACTATACCTTAGAGAGAGACGTGTTGATTGGGTCACAAAATGGCACAGACTGTGCGGCCTGCGGCGCCGCCCGGTCCCAGTGGTTTTGTTGCACGTCTGGGCCAGTCATGCGCAGAAACCAGTTTTGGCAGTCTGACTCGGCCTCGGCGGCGGCTACATCGGTGCTCGCGCTAACTACTTGAGCCTCGCTTCGCCATGCTTAACCTCAAAATCCTTGGTCGTTCGTACTACCTGGCTGATCCTCAATTTAATACATTGTTGTCTTCCGATTTCAGCCGTGATATGATAAAAAAAGTGAGGTGTAAAAAATCAACCCTTACACTGTGTCTGTGTAGCTTTATTACTGACTAATATCAGCTGATTCTTCAGTAAGGATAATTTTTTTAAGCCCAATAAACAGGAACAGCTGGGCCCAGTTTCGAACCATCAAAAAGCTACTGACTTTTCTCAGGATCGAACCGTCGACCTTTTTATTTCAAGGCGATCACTCCCAGCTACCCTAGTCTTATTTAATTTATATAGGTACCCAAATGAGCTGTAAAAGTTGATTCATTTTTGAGGAGCTTAAAGGGAACTGTTAAATATACTTAGTAGAGACTTCAATAAAATATATCCATGCATTTAAAAAAACTTGTCTTTGAACACATTTATTTATAATATTTCGGGATGAATTCCAACTGTGCTTTCGTGCCTAGTAGAACGAGTGTAAAAACATCACCTTTTGTTTCAGAGTCCTGATGGTATTACCGAAATGGCCTTAACTTGGGATTTTGACGATGAAGATAAGAGGATGGTTTCTAATTCACATTACTCATGCAAATGTTTAACATTACCATAATCTCCTAAGACGGTGAACTTAACCTAGATAAGCGATAATATTACATATTTATTCTACATTATTCACCCTTGGTCCTGTAGGTGACGACTCCTACAGTAAGGTGGACCTGGGTAGGGTAGAGAGCTGGTGACGAGGATATGCTGTAGAACCTCGGCTGCAGTGGAGTGAGGTGCGCAATGAGAAGTGCCGGAAGTGGTCTAACTGAAGGGAACTCCTCTAGAACCTCCAGTAGATTTGGGAACAGCCAGTGTCTCCAGTCCTCGTACGAAGTGGGTTCCTAAAGTAATATCCATAATTGCATGGGTAGAGTGTTTTATACAGGTTTTCTCTAAATACATACAGAAATGTTCACGTAATTTGTGTTTTAATCGTACCTAAGGCAATCAATGTTTTTTTTTCTGCAACAATACCTTTGGCTCATTTTGGTGTGGAGGGAAGATGTTAGATGATACAGAGGGAAATATTTGTTAAAGTAAAGCAAATAATGGGTGAGGTAGGAATCCATCAACACATTTATATCTTATTATACATTTAGGTGTTCCCATGTACAATTCTAAAATCAAACTAGCTAAAGAAAAAAGAGATTCCGCTTTAAGATCATAATAATTCAAAAGGTTTACGTTACAGTCGATATAACAGATAATAATAATCACAATAGCACGTAAGCAAATATTCAACATTAAAGGTGTTTAACCAATCAATCGATCTATCAATTATTGAGATGGGGACGCCACCTAGGTGTGTACTTTAACTCAAATAAGAGTAAAGGATGAGTGTAGAATAGAGTGAGATTATCAATGCAGCGTTGTTACTGACTAAGACCAGCTGTTTCATTAGTCAGGACCACTTATTAAAAGCCCAATGGTCAAGGACAGCTGGGTCTAGTATCCAACGATCAAAAAGTTATGATCATACGTGTGAGCGAATTTTTAGTAGTTACCGAAGCGAGAAGGTGGAGGTTGTCTTGGTCCTCAGGGTCTGCGGTACAAGAGGAGAGGAACTGCAGGAACTGAGGGGTCGGCGGCGTGGTGATGTCTAGGAACCTTGTGAGCAACTCTCGTACAGACGCGTGAGGCAGTCGCTCATGAGGCTCCCAGGACTTGACTGTACCTACATAACATATATAAGTAACACTTGCTGGGCATAAACAGGAGTTGGAAGTTATAGTTTTAACATGATGTATTTGTAGAAAATACTTTACAATATATGTTATTTGATTGTATTTCATGGATCAATCAAGGTTCCATCAACCTTGTTGCTACATTTATTACTACACAGTGTTACGAAAATGTTACTACGGTTGTTTATTAGCAAAATGTAAATGGTAAATTAAATACTCTATATACAGAGGTGAGGGTAGAAATTATAAGTAAAATGGTAGAACCAACCGTAAGATGTTTAATGCTAAGTATGTTTAGAAAATGTAATAAATGTGTAAAACATTAAAATGCCCAGATCAACCTAAAATGTGAACAACAACTACCATTCAAGTCAATTTGGAAGTTTAAAGATAGAACCTAGTTTTTATTTAGTCAGTGTTATTTATTCAGTATTTAAGATCAGATTTTAATTTAATATCAAGAAAATTAAAACAGGAATCTTGATGGGAAAACTAACATCATTAAAAGTCATTCTTTTACGTCGAACTAAAAGTACCATACCGATTAATTTTTTATTTCAAATTTATTATTTGCTATGTACTATATTTTATATATGAGCAAAGAAAAATGACAGTAGTATACGTACCAGTAGAAGTCTGCGTCTCCTTCAGATGCTGTAGCTCCACAGGTTGGTCGGGGTCCAGGTCACCCATGTCTAGGTGTGCGATGATACCGTCCACTAGGTCTCTATGGTTACACGCCAACACCCCGACATGATCACCTATACCACAACAAACAATACAAACTCAATCTAATCAGCTCATATTAGGTAGCCTATATTAATGAAAAATCATGTTTCTGGCCCTTGGACTATTTCATTGGGACAATAATAGGTTTTTTTACGTACTGTTAATATTCCAATGATTGAGAATGCTCTATTTTTGCTTACTAGTATTTGCTTACTAGTTTCTTAGCGAAGACAACATTATCAAAGCCTGCAACTCTTTTTTATAGTGTGTTCTTGACGAGTTGCAAGCTGTGATAATGTTGTCTTCGCAACGATACTAGTAAGCTACTGAGCAATAGTCGACGTGAGATGGAACGAATGAAATAGAAAAATTGTTACAGCGACCTATATAATTATAAAAGGACCATGATTCTATTTCACAAGCACAAAATGTCTTAAAATATAAACCTTATATTATCGTAAACTTAATTTAAATAGTACAATGTATGTGCCTCTAATTAAATCTTAATCTTAATCTTAAAATAACATAATGCTTAAGAAAATGTTACAAACTAGTTTTGCAATGCGACAACCTTAAGGTTTGTTTAAGGGACTGTTATAAGAGGACTGAGTATGATAAGCTAATCTTGTCAAGGTGTCTGCCGCGGCAATATTCAACAGTCAAGAGGCAAAAGGTATGCATTGGTTTGAATCAAGGTAGATTAAGTAAGTTAGGTTTGGTTAGAGGTTTCTGTCACTACGAAAACATAAGAAACCAAAATTAATGTATATCTCACAATACATATTTTACTAGGTACAACTGTTAAAACCAATTCAGCAATAATCACGGAAGAAATACGGGTAGAGGGGTTGTTTGATTGTAATAATAGTATTAATAATTTATGAAAATGTTTATCCCAGGACACTTAGGTACTAGCCAGAGATCACTTCAGGCTAGACTTAGGGGTTTCTGCATTATCACTTTGATAAAATCCATTGGTGATTTGGCGGGTTTTTAACTCAGGACCTCAGGTAATTAGCCCCGCACTCTACCACTAGACCAGCTTGCTACACAGAATTTATGATGCTGTAGTAAAGGAAACTAAAAATAGTAGTGAACCTTTACTCACCTGGCTCATATCTGAGGCCGTTTTCTATGTTGAGTTCTATACCGAGCGTTGCTATGGAGGAGTTGTTGCCATGGAGGTTTTTGTTGCAAGCCACCTCGCAACTAAAGATCTGCCTATTGTGATACTTGCTGTAAGCTGAAAAGTTAATGGTTTAAATAAAGACACGTTAAAGTGCTTATATCGTAGTTTGCGAGGTTGTAAGTACAAGGTTATAAAATATGTATAATAGAAAATATGTAACATGTAGAGTTAGTGCTATCAAAAGCATCAGTGACAACAAAGTATTCAAGGCGAATAGCAAGAACTAAGTTTAATATTTACCTATTTTAAGGTCTTGTGCGGGAATGTCAACTAGCCGTACCGTAGAAGCTGTTATTGGTGCGTTGTTCAACGTATTATGCAAGTTGTCAAACACATTGTTTGCATCATCCAGACAAAATGTTTCACAGGCTACCTGTAAAAACAATACAGTTAATAATAAAAAAATCCATACGTGTACCTAAGTGACAAAACGTATGTTATACTGACTGTGGAGGAGATTTTTGGTTATTCAATTAGCCTGGAAATATGTTCGTACGTTGTAATCTTGCATATTTAAAAATCAATTTATTTTGAAAGACTGTAAAATATACTCACTCTGAACACCTCAGGCGCCCACTTGACGAAGGCCTGTTGCTGTCCACACATCTCGTCCCCAGTGGTCAGTTTCATGAGTCTCTCGCCGCCCAGCTCGCCCAGCAGGTTGTCCACGTAGGCGCCGAACGCGCAGAAGTTGGGGTACGCGCTGGAGCCTAGGGCGAACACTGCGAACCTACCAACACGGCAAAGCTTACACCATTATCAACAGTTATTGGAAACATACGAGCACTTTCTTTTCAAGAATTTAAGTATATTTGAAATTAAAAGTGACCTTTATAAAAACCTTCTTTGTAGCGAATGCTGTAGGTATAGTGATTTCATTGTTACATAACACTTTTTGCAATCATCAAGTTTTTGAAAGTTTGTTTTTAATCTTCTGTGATTTCAATCATACATTATATTCTTTTAGTTTTAAAGGCACAAATACTTTGATTTCGGAACATTCTGAATTTTATAAACTTTTCAAAATTGTGAATTGCTAATATGTATTGGTTATATTCTAAATGAATTTTTTTACCAAAGAAAAACAAAGACTTTTTTGGATTGGATCCAACCGGACGTAACTACTCATTAGTATTATCACTGTACAATTTAAGACTTGTTTACTTTAACATTTATCAGCAATACATATAAACAATTTTTAACTTATTTACTTATATTAATCTCCTGTAAAATTAGCACTTCGTTGACGGAAACCGAGTATTTCTCAAAATGGTTTGAGTAAAATTCAATATAAAGAAATTATACCCTAGTAAATGCTGTTGAAAATTCATGCCTGTTGACAACACTAATTGAAATATACTAAACAATATTTTCAAATCATCTGGTATTATTAGATTTGGCAACAACGCGCAGACCTCATAGGCTCCTTTGAAGTCACGTGGTAAATAGGCTCCTCCCTCAACTGCAGACTTTCGTGTACCGTACTGTAGGGAACATACACAATCAAACGTGAACATTACTGCTCATCAAATATGAGTGCTCACTACAACACTCAAAACCAAACCAAGTGCTACAACTTACCTGACGTTGCTCAAGGGGCCGAAGCTATCCACCTCAGTCACTGACTCTCTGAAAGAACCCGTCCTCTCCAGCAGATGGTCAGACTGACTGTTGGCTTTGATGAAAGAGGCTGAACTGCGAACGAAAATTATTATTTGATCAGTATTCAAAAACTTGTTAAATTGATGTAAAAACTATAGTAAAATGTTATTCATGAAAACATTTTCAATTATTGATTATAGGCTTAAAACTGGAAAAACTTCCAACGTCCAACATCCCATCAAATGTTATCTCATAACTTGTATTGAATAAGTATGTATTGATGTATTGAAACTATTACTAGGCTGTGTACTTGTTGGTTTTCTTATCCTTTTAATAATTACAAGGATGGATAAAGTTACATTATCTGGTAATTTCATTACTCATGAATAATGTTTTGAAAGTGAACGTACTTTAACGGAGAAGAGTGACCGTTCGCCATTCCACCAGAATGTTCCATCCGGAGTGTGTATAAACTCTGCGCGAACGACTGAAACAAACATTGTAAGTGTATTTTTTATCAAAACATCATAACTGATTTAGATTTCATCATATACAGATTAGGATTCACTTTATTTAACAAATCTATAGGGACGTTATAATTTATGGGACATGTTATGATTCCATTTCAAAAGACTATATGAATGACTTGAACTAACTGTTTAGAAAAATGATATGCATATTGCATAGCGGGGTTTCAATGCTTTTAGCACGTGCTGGAAGTAAGCCATATGCTTGTCTATTAACAGTGTAGAATATTTTAGGCGTGAATATTTTATATTTATTTATATACTGTATGTATATAAGATATACATATATAAATATATATGGTATACATGGTAGCAACGGAATTTTTCCTTTTTTTCAAGGTTTGCACTGTTTCTATAATCTATTAAATATGACCAGATTTTAAGATAGGATGGATTACACATCTTTTTATACGGTACTTAATAATGTTCTACAATACCATTCTCAATTTTCGTTCTAATAAAAAAATAAAAATAAACTGCAGTGTGGAATAGGCATGTGTTGGCCATCATGTTGGCGTGGTTATTTCCATTTTTAAAATGGCAGTCACTGAACATAATTTCTAACATTGAGTGCTTATTTCAGTGAGTTGTCTGTTTAGGTACCTGTCCATTCTCCGGGGGGTCGCCGTTGCCGAAGGTAGAAGCTACTACGATCAGTAACGCCTCGTGCTCTATACTGCTCATGTCGTAGTCTTCCATACAGCAGTACTGCATCAAAACACCAAACTCTTTTAATTGTTATGCGAGATAAACATCTAAATTAGAAAGCTCATTTTGAAAACTGTTCATATCATTTTAAGGTTATTTAAAATGCATGAACAGTTGTTAAAGGTTTGAACGGCAATTTTTTGCATATGTTTTTAGTTTAAAAGATGTATTGATTTACAAAACGTTTGTCGTTTTATTCAAGAACCAATTTTGTTATTTGGGAAAATTACTAGGTAGCTTTTTAGGTTTTACTACACTAACGTTTTTCTTAAAAAATAAACTATTGAATTATTTTCCACCGGGGTTTAATTGTTATAATTTTTTATGAGTTACAGGCAAGCTACAAATTTAACAAAACATAATTATACAACTACTCACGGTTGAATGGAAAGCATGACTGAATATCTCGCTGAGTTTTCTAGCGAACTGTTCAGATTTGCCGGTCTCTGTTGCGTACAAAATAGTGGCCTTGATCCTCCTGGACAACGCGCTGCCGAACAGTTTGGAAGTGAACTTTACTGCCCTAAAATAATAAACAAACACTCATTACATACATGTATGGGCTCCGCGCCATGAGTATGGTCCAGGTGAAACTGTTAACTGAAAGACATGAAACATAAATACATCTTAAGAAGTAGTGCAATGATGTTAGATCCATTACCCACAGATTTAAGTTCGAATACAGTAGTAATCTTCACCAAGGACTAAAGTAACATAATTTTTCGTGTTATGTGTTTGTATTGTATGTAATCGTACGTAGTCACGAGCAATTAGTAAGCAAGCCTCGTACTTACGTTCACCAAATCGATTCTGGGAAACGATTTGATAGCAATTTGAAAACGATTTGTGTTTGACAATGTACTCTGCTGTCACAGAATAGGGCAATTCTACAGTTTGGAGAATGTATACCAAGAGTAATAGATCATACCAGTTGCATTACTTGTAGACTTTGAAAGGTAGAAGAACTTTGAGAAGTTCACTACTTTCAGTAACTAAATTGTTTGAATTATCTTAACATGGAATCAATTGGCGTACAACATTCTTTAACAGTAAAATAACGTGAGAAAATGTACCTTAAACTTATGAAATAAATTCCAGTAGTTTATTTACTTAAATCAAGTGTAAATCGAACGGAAAATGTATTTTCTTAGCTCCAAATAATTTTACAGACGTGTTTTCTTGCTAATGGGCTATTCAATAATTTTAAGGTTGATTCACAACACTAAATTGCTTGCAGACATCCGTTCAGTTTTAGATTAATTTAAAAGTATACTCTTCTCTCTGGTCGGAAAGCCGGAAATATTTATCTTAAGTGGCATAGCATATTACTAAAATGTATGAATACCATTAAAAATGCCAATTACGCACTATGTAATGGTAAAACCCCATTAATTTACACAGATAGGACAATTCAAATAGTCTATAATTTGACTTGGACCCTTGGACGTAATCATATATTTGCAAGTTTCTTTATATAAACGTTTTACCTGGCAATCTGTTTAAAGTGGAACTTTCTTCTTGGCTTCTTCAACGATTTTACTCCATCCTTTCCTTTCTTCCAAATGTGTACCTTCCAAGCAGGATCCTAGAAAATTTAGAGTCAGTAATAACTTACAAGATGTTGTTTTATACACAAGCAGCCAAAGAAATAAACATTCAGATAAATTCTTTCACCTCCCGCTTCTTCATCAATACCAACCTGATACGAGTAGGTAGGGTACATGTTGTACATGGCCATCTCCTGATGGAAGACTGGGGTAATGGAGCCAGAGATCGGACAATACCAACCTGATACCAGTAGGTAGGGTACATGTTGTACATGGCCATCTCCTGATGGAAGACTGGGGTAATGGAGCCAGAGATCGGACAATAAAACCTGATATGAGTAGGTAGGGTACATGTTGTACATGGCCATCTCCTGATGGAAGACTGCGGTGATGGAGCCAGAGATCGGACAAAACCAACCTGATATGAGTAGGTAGGGTACATGTTGTACATGGCCATCTCCTGATGGAAGACTGGGGTAATGGAGCCAGAGATCGGACAATACCAACCTGATACGAGTAGGTAGGGTACATGTTGTACATGGCCATCTCCTGATGGAAGACTGCGGTGATGGAGCCAGAGATCGGACAAAACCAACCTGATACGAGTAGGTAGGGTACATGTTGTACATGGCCATCTCCTGATGGAAGACTGCGGTGATGGAGCCAGAGATCGGACAAAACCAACCTGATACGAGTAGGTAGGGTACATGTTGTACATGGCCATCTCCTGATGGAAGACTGCGGTGATGGAGCCAGAGATCGGACAATACCAACCTGATACGAGTAGGTAGGGTACATGTTGTACATGGCCATCTCCTGATGGAAGACTGCGGTGATGGAGCCAGAGATCGGACAAAACCAACCTGATACCAGTAGGTAGGGTACATGTTGTACATGGCCATCTCCTGATGGAAGACTGGGGTGATGGAGCCAGAGATCGGACAATACCAACCTGATACGAGTAGGTAGGGTACATGTTGTACATGGCCATCTTCTGATGGAAGACTGAGGTGATGGAGCCAGACATCGGACAATACCAACCTGATACGAGTAGGTAGGGTACATGTTGTACATGGCCATCTCCTGATGGAAGACTGGGGTGATGGAGCCAGAGATCGGACAATACCAACCTGATACCAGTAGGTAGGGTACATGTTGTACATGGCCATCTCCTGATGGAAGACTGGGGTGATGGAGCCAGAGATCGGACAATACCAACCTGATACGAGTAGGTAGGGTACATGTTGTACATGGCCATCTTCTGATGGAAGACTGAGGTGATGGAGCCAGACATCGGACAATACCAACCTGATACGAGTAGGTAGGGTACATGTTGTACATGGCCATCTCCTGATGGAAGACTGGGGTGATGGAGCCAGAGATCGGGGGAACTATCCACACCCAGTCAGCTGGACAGCCCTGTCTCAGACGTTGCTCGTTCTCGTAGTGCTTCATGAACGACTCCGCCGCAGTATGGTGGTCCACAATCGTCACGTTGTTCACCTAAAGAAAGATATAGATTTAATTTCTAATAAATAACTCTACTATAATCCACACAATGTGCTGTTGTCACTGCCCTAAGTTCAAGTCTCTAGTTTATTTAACCCACACGACATAAATGGTACCATTTGGTTTTACATAATATGTTAAATAAGTTAAACATTTTAAGTATTTAAATACATTTATACTTAAAATTTAGGTTTTATTCAGGGTATTTCAAATATTAAAGATTGTAATTGTAACTGTAGGCCTATATCATTTCAAAACATCATTTCAATTTCCTATGATTTTGTAAACACAACATAAATAACGTATGACTCTGTGCCATACTTGAGCCGCAATACAGTAAAATCAACCATTTAGCGTAATAAAGGCAATAGTCCAAATAACAAAATAATCTATTTTTATACTCACTTGAAAACTATGCAGAACAGCGACATTGGCTTCAATAAGAGCCTTGTCTTTCCATAGTGTTACTGGAGTTCTTGTGTCCAGGCCCATCTTGATAGCAAACGTCTGGAATGGAAATAGGAAGATAATACTAATTTAAATCACTATTTAGCTAAGTATACAGATTAAACTTGAAACACGGCTTGATATTTTGAAATATTTTAAATTTCTAATTACACCAAATTACTTCCAAAACTACCAAATTTAAACACATATTTTAATTTGTAAGAAATAATAAGACTACTTGGAAGCAAGGTAACTATTATTTAAATTATATTGACTATATTTTAAATATATTGACTTCGAATTCTAAGGAAAAAGTTGAAAATACATATTCACAATACAAAATAATTCTTAAAAGATATTATTTACAAACCTAACAAGATTTATAAAACATTTTTTATCCGATTTGTTTTATTTCTTATTATTTCAAAGCAGCCGCATTAAAATGAACTTTTGATTTAATAATTATTTGGTTGTTCTAAATTAAAGTAGTGTGTTCTTAGGTTAATGTGATGCTATACTCTATACTTGGAACCGTTTTAGGTGTCTAGGACATGTTGGAACCCACTAATCACGTTTTGTTTCCTTACTAACCTCGAGTAAGTTGTATCTGTTGACGTCGCACAGGTCCCTGGCCCCTATCTCAGTGCTCATGTACCATCCATTGAAGGGGGCCGCCGTAAACTGGAGCCCTCCACAGTCAAACATCATACTGGACACAGCCGGGACCGCGTACCACCTCAGCCCAAGCTCGGCAAACCACTCGTACCTACAAACATGAGGGATATTTATCGGCCGTGTTCCATAGGTTTCTAAGGTCTTGCTTAGAGCAACATTTTGGTGAAAACGGAACTCATGACCAGGTTTCTCCGCACGTTGAAAAATAAATCGTGTGCTTGCAACATATCCTAGCCTCTATTACTACTTACATACTCTATGCTACATTTTACAATCAATGAAATACACCAAGAATCAATATATTTGCTATTTTACATTTAATCAGTTTTATAAATAGGTAAAAGAGGATTCATACATTTATATTGTGAGTATTTTATGTTATAAATGCAACTAATGCTTAAACTAGGCTAATTCAAACTAAACTCATTTGTTCATGTCAATAACAAATCACATTGAGTAATTTACTAACAATAATTAACCTGAATATTGACACAAAGTTTTAATCGAATGGTGCTTATTTGCAATGTGTGTAACTATTTCAATGAAATATTTTCAATTCACCTGCTGTCGACGGGGGTACTCAGTTACTATGTTGATGAATATTGTGTATCTGTATGTTCACTTACGTAGGATGAGTTAGAGGCACTTCCATGATGAGTTCTGGAGGGAAGTCGAAGTAGTCCGGGTCGTGACCGTTGGCAGACAACACGAGAGGTAACACATCAAACATCCCGTACTTGGGCTTCCAGCCCAGCTTCGTACACACCTGTGAATGTGTTAGGTTAGTTTAAGTTCGTACATATAATCTGTACTCTTACCGTTTTTCAAAATATTCCTAATATTCACAGGCAATTATATACATTTTTCTTGGCTTATGTCTATTGTCTTATTATTACTTTAGCCTGAGACCAGTTTGCACTGGATAAGCAGCGTCCAAACAATTTATATACATTGCATTACAATATTTACACAACTTCCAGGATGGATGATAAGGCTTATTGCTTATTGCTGGATACTTTAAAGCTTAGATGAGTTTGTGTCATAACATTTTAAACAATAACAAGCGTTAGCTGTATTTGGCAATAAACATGTAACAACTGTACGTATTAACATGTAAACCAAACCAATTTGTTTTTATATCAAACGAAATACTTACATTTTTTAAATTATTTTGTTACATCTCATCATGTAATCATGTAAACACAACCGCGTTGAAATAAGAAAAATGTTAGCTCCTCAGAGAAGTTGTAAGATAGATAAAAAGTACAATTGTTGCATTGAAAATGGTTGATATAAAAGATTAAATTTAAACTTTTCAATATGAATAATTGAAAATCAGGAATTCAAAATGTAAAGTAATACATTTGACATACGTTATTACATAATATTAATCCAAAATAAACTTCCTTTCTACGCAAAGGCTTTGAAATATTCTGAATTCTTGCTGGATTCCCAAAACAGATATTTTCTTGCATTAGCTGGAACTCTGATTTATGTTATTTAAATGCAAATAAATTACTTACTGTAATTACTTGGTACAAAATGCAAAACGATTTAAATTTTCCTCTGGTATAGCAGCAGTTTATGCTGGTGGCAGGCACTGAGATCAAATTGATTTACAGTAACGCTCTTGACTTCGTTACTAGAACAAATTTAAGTTGTCGCATCCTTCTCACTTGGATTTGGCTTGAGTTTTGATAGAGCCAAGAGACTAAAATACTTAAATTAAAAGAAAAAAAATCACCAATATTTTATCTTTGTATATCGTTTCACTCAAGACCAATGTAATTTATACTGTTGATCGCCCGGGTTTTAGTTATATCATATAGATTAAAGGAGTAGACACTGTCTACTCACTTTAACACTCTTGCCACTCCTTTAATTTACGGAAATAGATAAATAAGCTAATCGACCTGGAGATTTGCTATATTAAATGAATCGTATATGTCCATAGCTTATCAAGAAAAAATACTTATTATTCCGTCAGGATGTTTTTATTCTAAGTATTCAAGATAAATAACTATTACAACGTCTTTCCTTTTTTGAATAATTAATGATCATACTATGACACGGTTGGCTTAGATAGTATAACATAAGCAAAATTTTATCTACATATTCTAATAGCTTTTTGATACAAGAAACTATTTGTATTAACAAAAGGTCTTAATTGTCTAAGAAAAAGAATAATAGTCTAAATCAAATGTATATCGCATTCCATTCTTGGTATTATACGTTTGAAAACAACTTTATAGCTAATTAGATAAAAATCACATTTTTGTTTATAAAACTAATATATTCTCATATACGATATAATGAATGTTAGATTGCTGCTACAGATTTGTATCTTCGGCAATTATTAGTAAGTAAAAGATAAATCAATAATTTTAAGCAGTTAGTTTCATCAATTACCAACTACAATTAATGCATAACAATACGATTAGTTTTATTTACATATAACGTAAGCAATATTCTCACCTCTGTAAACTCCACGTTGGCCGGGTCCCCAGTGATAGTGCCGTCAGTGTTCTTGTACCCCGCGTACATGATCAGCTGGCCGTTCCATACCCTGTAGTCGTGCTTACCGTCCGTCCGTTGTGGGAACACCGTGATGGCTGACCTGAAACGTCATCAGTGTTCGAGGGAATCAAACGAATAGCATGGATAGGCTGTTAACATGAACCCTTGGTCCTTCAACAACTAATGGTTTCTAAATAAATTTCTGCAATACCTTATCTGGGCCATTTTTTGTACTTCCAATAAATACCCTTTTTACACGCTATTTTCTGGCCAAACTTAAACATTTAGTTTGTATAATAACAAGACAAACTAAGATTCAAAGGAAATCAACAACTAATATAATCTTTTAAACTTTGAAATACCAAGAATAAAACAAATGGGTTCGTTTATGTATGACTTTAGAGATGCAAACATATATTTAATAATCAATAATATAAATATGCTATTGTACTCTCAATACTTAATAAGATTGAATTGTTGAAATATGATTTTACTTGTATATTCAAAAATATTGTCTATACTTCGGCATCAGTATACTGATATCAAGTCTAATAACTTCAATCGATACATTTGTGTCAAAAGCAGATCCGTGTTTATATTTTTATTGATATTGCCAAAGTACCTAACTCAGAAAGTCTGTTAAATCAACTATTTTAAATTGATTGATTGGTTAATTTATACTATACCAGGCACACCACAGACTGTTTTATAACAAGACCACATTGATATAAATTTGTTTTCACCAATACACATATGAAGGTATGCCTACATTTGCAAACTAATATGATGAAAATCCCATATGTTACCTGATATTGCCTTTGTTTGTGCTGTATTTAATGTGGTTACATATGGCCTCGAACATCCCACTAGTCGTTGTAACTGATCTGCAGTCGAAAACCTGAAAAATAATTATTTTAATACTAAAGCCCGTTCACAAAAATTAGGTGGTTTATAAAAATGTATAGATCAGCTGATTAGCTAGACTGTTTCTTCAGAGTTCAAGAGTAAGCTGGAAGGGATGGAATGTCTTCCCCTTAAACAAACTAAATTCTGAATTAACGTTAATGTTTACATTTAATGGTACTGTGTTATCATAACATATCACTTATTGTTATTATTTAGAAACGATTAAAACTGGATAGTAATTAAGAAGTAAGTTATAATAGGGATTACGTGCAGAATATTTGGAAGAGATAATTTAGTAAAAAAATCGGCTTGCTATGCTATTTAATATGTATTTAGTTCTTATAGTCATCAATGTATATTCGTCATTTAATAGTTAATTATCAACAAAGAAAAACTACTGTATTATCATTTACAAATTGAAACATTTATAACTGCTCACAATATTGCACTAAGTAACAGAGAAGTAACAAGAAGTAGCAAATGCAGAGAGTGTTTAACAAGGCAAACAAGATTATCGCAGACCGAATGGAATTCATAAATTGAATGAACCTCCGATTACGAGAGCAATCGGCGAGCCTTAATCTGATTTTCCCCCTAAAATTCCTCGTTAAACCTCGTCGGATTAAAAGTAAACAGACCACGATCTCCATCTGAATGAATCCCGGCTCTGTTAGATTGTGATATCAGACTGTTTGCATAATTGTAATTATTTCCCACGGATACTTCAATAATATTGCTGGTTACTGGTGTACTCTTGCACCAACGTAAAAACAATTATAGTTAAGAAACTGCCACAGGCTAAACGAATAAAATAGTACATTAGTGAGTAGATTTATGTATTTTAATATAGTATGAGTACCAAAATCTACAATGAGCATCAGTAAAAAATTTCATTAAAATCGATTAGGTAGATAGTGCACCAAAGTTTTTCTGTATGCAGTACTTAGTTATACAGTATATACAGTATATCTTGTGGAAATTGTTATCTTCTTGTTTGGCCAAATTACGAACTACTAAGTGTATTATTTCCAATATTTAAATTCATTAAATTTCATTATAATATACTAGCGAAGAAAAGTTTTGACTCGTATTATTATTGAGCTTGTTGGGGATGTCTTGAGGTTGTAACGGTCAGAGGAAGCGGAAGGAAATATTTGGTTATTTAAATTTACTGTTTGACATAGTTACATATTAACCATTTATTGTAGAAGCAACATTCAGTTATGTAGCTTAACCTTTTAAAAAAATGTTATTATAATACATATAAGGGGTAACGACTTATTAAGCTACTTATTACGATGTGTTAGTTGCACTGACGAATGTTTGAAAATAATGTAACGACCAATACATTACTTATTACCAAAAAGCATGGCAACTGAAAACACCTAAAACAGTAAATAATGTTTTAATAGCATGAAACAGTGGCATACTATTTTTTTTTATATTACTGTTTTTATTGGACTTTTCTGTAATTATTTTATACAAACGAATTCATATATATGGAATATAATGTATTTGAATAGTTTTATAAATAAACTTTTTAAGTCAAACCCCGCTCGAAATAAAGACTTTTTAATTAATGCATCTATTAACTTTAGCAAAGGATATACTATCATAGGTTACTTTGAAAATACAATACAATAATGATAATTTGAAAATAGGAATAAATTTAAACTACTAATCTAACAGTTATTAAGGTACTACTGTATACTGTACCTGCAGTTTGGACCACTGTATTCTTCCTATACATCTAGCTGCGTTTCTCCAGGCCAGCTTTGCTCCGTACACTAGTTCTGTTTCTGTTAGCTGGTAGCTTCCAGTAGACATAACTTCCGATTCTACCTGCTTCCACCGGACATCATGAGCCTGACTGTTAGCCCTGGAAAACAGAGTGATAGATACGTTGTTTAGGCTATACAACTTTAAGGTTTACCAATGTCAGAAAACCCTTGAATCACATAACCCTTAAAATGAAGTTTATGCGCTCAACTGATCTCCTCATAACATTGGCTGCTTTTGTCATCAGAATCGTTGATATTTAATTCTAAAGTTCTGCCATATTCACCGTTAGTATTTTAATAACTATTCGTTCTTTAAACACCTGCCATGCAGTTCCAAAAATAACAATCGCAAGAAGAGCAGAGTACCGGCAACGCTGTTTCTGTGATAGGTGTAAAATTATTATATTACAAATAGTTATTTGTGCAACTAGTGAGAAAAGTGAGCAATTGACTCACTCGAGAGAAATCCTTACTCACGAGCCGTAGGCGAGTGAGGAATGGTTTCTCGAGTGAGGCAATTGTACTTTGAACTCGAGTTGCACATTATACTTTTCCTACAGTTACCATAAAACAAATAAATTGGTGGAGAAACATAACCTATTTTTACACAGAAGTGAACTTTTAATATAACATTTAATGTGAAGTGACAAATACAACAGTACAACAGCTGACCAGCTGATTTACAGCCAGTGCTGCCAACGTATTTCGCGCGCATACAACGTTGCCTGCATGTTACGCGCTCACTATTTCGTGCCTTCACGTTGAAAATCTGGAGTGAGACAAAGTAATTAGAGTGAGACAATGTTAACATTGTCTCACTGATGAGCGAATTGGCCACTTTGCTTTCTCAAATCAGTGAGAGAACATGTACATTGTTAGGTAACTGTAGGAAAAAGTATTTATGTCTATGTAGGTCGTATGTGTCGTGTGTTGAATGTATTTTCGTATTTAAAAATCAACGAAGCTAATCAAGTGGATTTCGTGTATTCCTTGGACTGTTATTTGACGATAACATCTAGCCAAAAAATGTAACTTTAAATGTATTTTTACTTTTGAAACTGCATGACAGGTATTGTAAAAAAATGGTTAGTAATTATTGCAGTTTCGGGGCTATCACATTGAAGTATATGATTTGTAACATACCATTCAGGTTAGTGGATTAACTTGTTTTATTATTTAACCATGGTTCCAACTTATCAGATTAATTAAAGGCACGTCTTATTTCACCTAAGAGTTTTCATTGTGATGTAAGTGCAAATGCATGTATATACATATTTACATTAAAATATATTAAGCACCATCATTCTAACTACCAATGAAACATCTAAAAAGTATTTTAAAATGTATGGAACCGTTTAAAGATGAAAGAGGTGGACTTGAAAGAAATGTCAAGCTATCAGTTGAGAGGTGATACAAAATTTAAACGCTTCGGTTAAGACTTAAAAAGGGTCGGATTATAAGAAAGTAACTCTAAAATAGACGTTTAGTGTTTTTAGAGTTAGTTTTTAAAATATAAAATTAGTATTTTGCAAGTAATGTAAGCGTATTTCTCCAAGTTAGACATGCAAAATAAATATTACAGTTTTCAGAAAGTTGTTATGCCTTGGTTTTAAATGCCATTTAATAGGGATACAATACTGCCTAACTTGAGTGATGGATATTATTTTTTCCTTTTTTTGTAAAATCCTAATGAAAATTTGTTTTGTCATAAATTATTTTCATTAAACGTATATCAAATTTGGATACGAAGCAACAACTGGAACATCAGTGTTTCGTGTCTAACAGCCAAAACTATTTAATTAGTCTATCAGTGTATCATAAACAAAGAAATCTAGATAAGTTAAAATCAATTGGACAGTAGAAATACACAACCAAAGTGTAATGGGTGTTTTGAAAATATTTTTAATGCTTAATTTTGTTTATAGATCCGCCATTCAGATACAAATACTAAAATAGTAAATATTGTAATTATGTTTAAAATAGTAAATATTGGAATATGAACTTTTATCATTAAATATTTTTAAGGAAACTATTAAATTGCAGTATTTTCCTTTCGCGTACCGTGGTTACATGGTCATAAATTTATAAAACGCATAATGTATGATCGTACGAAACCTTTGACTATTGATCTAATAATCATTGATGTAACTTGTAACATATAATGACACATTTGTAATTGACTTCCCTATTTTTTATCCATTGTTTGGTTATACACTGAAAGCTAATGAGACTGGTATATAGATATGTGTGAATACTAAACTTTATTAAAAAACTATGAATCATTTTTATAAAACCGTTTACTGTCTGCACACGCCTTTGAAACGCAACAGAAAAGTTCGATTACATTTAATCAAGCAATGCAAATAAGTACTAACCATACAATCAGTAGACCTAGATCAAACAACGACCTAGATCGGATTGTAGTCTAGGTAGGGTAAGAAATAAACGGCTATAGTAGAAGTGGCCAGACGCCCTTTGGGCTTAGGCAAACTCGGCCTAGTTCCAATCGAGTGAGATCTTTGAACATCCACAAATTTTCCTGCCTATTTTAAAAAAGGCGAAAAAAGAGGCAGAAAAACTTCATCATACATTATATTATGGCAAATTTCAATATTACTTATCCCAATAAAACTTTAAATACACTAATAAAATAATACCCTAGGGAAAATTTTTACCACCAGTAATGTAATAAAAAAAATAGAATTAAGCTTACAGAAGCGTTTCAAAAATGTTAACAAATTATATTAATTGATAAATAAGTATTGTATTATGCAACCAGATCAGTTAAGACAAGCCATTCAATACCCACACATCATTGTAAAATGACCTTACCTTCCAAACATTAGATTTAAAAGTAAGTACATATTACATAGAATGTTTGAATTACTCTCCAATAACTAAGACACTGCATATTTGCATTTGAATCCCGTGTAACACATGTAAATGGGTTTTAAACTAATTCCATCAGTGACGTCACGGTCAATAAAGGATGTTCTCCATCAAGATAACTCCGAGTGAAGGTTTAACAAAGAGAAGTTTAAGTGATCCTGGTTTGAGAGGGAGGGCTGAAAGTGGAGAGAGGGTGACGTTGAAATCAAGAATACTAAATATCGAAATGAGTTTAGTTTTACCACAGAAGTGTGTGCTTAGAAAGAAATCATAAGTGTTAAATAATTTTCAAAATTTAAAGTTTTGTCTAATTCATTTTTCTAAAATAAAAAGTTTAAAAGGCTAGAATATTTTGGAAGTTATCAAGTTACTCAACTGGTTCAAGGTTCAGGTTTTTTTTATAATTTGTGTATCTTATGACCACTTATTAAAAAAAATTTAAAACGCGTTTAATAATTACATAAATGTTATGTACGTTGTATGATAATAATAACATTAATAATGTGGAGATCAGATAAAAGAGCATTTTTAAATTAGTAATTTTCAGTTTCATTGTAAGGGAAATACGCTTCGTTTAAAAGGGTTAAATGTGAATTTCTCTACTGGGTAGAATGGGGTGTCACGGAATTAGAAAATGTTTCAAAATTTAAGTTTTCTTTAAATGTTTACCCTTAAAGCATGGAAATTCCTAATTTTCATTGCAACCATCGTGCAGAGCTTAGAACACGAACAGTTTGTATATTGAAGCATTGTTGTGCGATAAAAATGTAAGGAGAAAAAAAATACATAAAAATCTCTAAGTTATTTCATGGAGAAAAGAAAACTGTTGTAGTTTGCTTGTTTATGGGTATATTGTGATAAAACTTTTCCCTTTCATACTATAATATTAACAACTGACAATAATCATTTATTCTCTTCCCCATGGCAGCAAACCTAAGTACTAGTAATTAAATCTAATATTATTTAAATGGGGAATACATATGACTTGTTTATTTATTATACGTTGAAATTCATTGAAATTGCTTAGTCTTCAGTTTTGCTGCGGCGGGATATTATTTTTATAACTGCATATTTACTGTCTTCTTTTCGGTATCCTTACTATTTCTACCTTAAAATAGTGGCAACAGTAGAGGAGTACAACACAAATTAACTATGAAGCGTCATGCTCTGACATAACATTTACAAGTTGTTTCTCACTACAACAAATCTTGTCAAATTGCATGCATAATTCTTGAAGTGGATTGAATGGGTTAGAGGTTAGATCCTCCAGTGAAGGACGAACAGATAGAACACGAGGGTAGCAATCAGCAGATCTAGCAGTGATAAGGCAGGTACAGCAGGTGGCAGGTACGGTAATGTGGTGATGAGGCGCTATCGACACCATTGTACAACCATCACAAAATACATTACTGCTTCAAAGGTTTGGGGTCTTACAAAGCGTTCAAAATCGTCCCATGAAATTACGAGCTAATATATTTGATATCTGTTAACGTGCCTATCAGGTTAAATCGTAAGATGAATATTGTGTGAGTAGTTTCGTCAAAAGACGCTATGCCATGCTACTTCAGGGGATTTGTACAGTTGGAACAGAGATTGTAAATTAATTTTTATTTTGAAATGCAATTTTTGTTAGGTAAATCTTGGATTTGAAATATTTTACTGTACGGGATATTTTCAGTTATACAGTAGTAGGTAATATTACGTTCACAGACGACCATGAGTTTAAGCATAGAGAGATAAGGTACAGAGGATACAAGCTTATTAAGCTTATTGAACAACCGTGCATTTTTAGCTCTGGTATAAGGTGGCTTAAATATACTTGTACCGAGTTAAGAATAGCTCGGACAGTGACGGCCACATAACATTGTTGTACAACAGTTGTAGCACATTGGGTCTTCCAACAGTGTGAGCGGTGTTATCACGTGATGACATGAGGGCAAAGGAGAGCGGAAGGGTAAGAAGAATAGAATTTGCTCTAGACACCACTTAGATGTACTAACCATTAAAAGTACCCCCTGTTTCTTTCCTTTGTGTTTCAAGTCATATACTCAAATAATGTTTATTTGAAATCAATTAATTGCGTCCGGTGACGTTCGAAATATTATTACACGTAGTATTTTTCCTGAACGTCTATCTGTTTGTAAATATTCGACAAACATCATTCGATCAGATTTACAGCATGAACTAAATAAAATAACCTATATTTGACATTCGTACCAAGTATATAAATGGCCTCTTCATCTGAAAATTTAATATCAAGGCTGTCCATTAAAAAGACTACTTCATTGAGTTTTTTGCACTATTTATTTGACTGTACCTTATATACATTTTTGCAAACGTTTGGTAATCATTATACTTTTTTTGTGATATCGATATAATGTTAGGCTATGATAACCTTAAGAATTTTGAAAATAGATTTCAATAACTAGTGCTAATAATTTAAGTAGCTAGTTGTTAGTACTGTATTTCATTTACGATATAATTTCTATGTTACTCTGCCTTATGAATGGGTCTAAAACGTAAACTGTGAGAAACATTTTAAAACTTAGAAAGCTTTTTTAGAAATCAGGTGATTAAACTAGTTTATCCCATTATATCAAGAATCTCAATTCTTTACTCGCAATGAATGGCTTTCTCTCTTGTATCCATCCATTCTCACAAACGTATACAAACAAGATTGTGTAAAGGAGAGAATAAGTCAGAGCTGTAAACCACTAAAGAAAGATTAATGTTCTAAACAGCCATTAGGTATGTTTCTTGTAAGGAAGGAATTAGGGAGCGAGGTGATTTATCGGAGATATTATGTTGTTTATAATTTTATAATCCTGGAATTCTTCCTTATTTAATACGGTAAGGAGGGTTTTTTATACAACGCGGATTGATTACATTTGTGATTGGGAATAAAGTAGCACCAAATTATATTTGGACACAATTGAAACAAAGGTTTGGTATTTTAGACGCCATCTTACAGTTAGTAACAGACGATGCCTATCATTTTGTAAATAATTTTATCGATTCTTTACATTAAATTTGAGTAATTAATTTAAATAAAAAAAATTTTAATTGACTTGAAAAATAAATGTATACAGATCATAAAATTGTTCTGGTTGGTTAAACGTATAAGTGCACTAATAAAGTCACGATTGAAAATTTAACCAATAAAAAACGCAAATACCAATACATCAATAGGTAAAAATAATTTGGAATGAAGAAAGTACTACTTGCGTATTTGGTGACATTCCTCGATATGGCTCTCTGCAAGTAGTTTTGCCTTGAAATACTCTTAAGGCATGTTTCCGATAAAAAAAGTTGAAGCGTATTAAAGTTTTAAATAGATTAAAAACAGTTAGTAAGTTATACTACATGTACTTTATGTACTATGTTATACGTTAACCCTGATCCAACTATTTTCAAAATACAAATTTTCTGAGGTGCAAACATGTTTCTGGTACGGGCTGGATACAGTTTGTGACGTAATATTCATTTAGAGTTTAATTAAACGTAAGGAGAAATCACAATTAGCTTTGCCTGTAAGTGGACTGTTTCATTGTCTCAAAATTGTTTAACAATCGATGGAATTTTTTATCAATTAAACTTAAATTTATCTGTAACAATATAGGGTGACTTACTATTATTGACATATTTTTTATGTTTATTAAATTTGATGTACAAGTTTATAAATGTTATTACGCTTATTATAAGTTGTGTTTAAGGAATACCTGAGGTTGTTTCTTAAGTAAAAATATGCTAACTATAATCAAACAATGTCGGTAAAAATTCCGTGCCGTACAGCAGTACGTAACTAAATCTCATTTGGTGGCGAACTGCTGTTTTCCGGATTAAATATGCGTTGATTAATACAGAGTAGTGGGGCGAAAATTCTTATTACTATCATATTCTTATTTTACAAAATATTCGTTTGTTTATTAACAAATTGAAAACTTGATAAATGGTATTTTAGAAGTATAAAACTAAGTAAAGAAAAAAACTTTAAAGTTTTTTTTAATACAACATTAAAAAGCAAACTATAGTGTTTACAAATAATTTGAAACCCTTTCTAGTAACAAAATAGTCAAAAATATCTCCAACAGATCCCATATAGTTTCACAAGTAGCCCATTGACGGGAGACACACAAGTTTCCATGTTAGTCGCCCTGGATCAAGATAGGACTAAAACTTGCTCTGCGATCTTTGCCAACAAATGAGCGGCAACTCCGATGTTCATATATCTCACAACTTTAGCTGCCTCTTCACTGGAATGGCCAAGAGGTATAAAGAACAACATGGAAGCAAAGCTATGATTGCAGCATATTTACATAGGTGGAATTTTCTCGTGTTGTTTATAAAGTGGTCGTTGTGGATGCAGCGTATTCAGCCTTGTATCCCTAATCAACAAATTGAATGGGTCTAAAAATACACTTGAAGTGTCCTTTTTTGTTTTAATGCTTATTTAACGAGTGCCATCGATGTAAAATGTTGTTAAATAATCAATGCAAACATGTTGTTTGTTTTGAAAAAAAGTAGCTTTCTGGCTAAGTAACTTTAGCAAGAAATATATTGTTACGTTTTGTGTAACAGGTGTCGGATGAAAAGAGAAAGAAATGGTTTTATAATTGGTCTTTGAATCGTTCCCGAGACGGACATAATTCCTAACGCCACTGGAGCAGAATCTGACCCGTCCCTGATTGGTTCCGGATCACGTATTGAATATCAATTATCAGCTGACTATTGTGGAGAGCAATCCGATATCTTGAGCTATTGTAAAAAGCTTTAAAGCCTGTTGGGACTCAACTTACGATTCGTATTAAAAGATTTTATCAACCAATAAACTCGAGGATTGAACCAAAAATGTTGCTTCTCGAAAGGAGGTTACTCTTTGATTTTTCAAGATATTTTCACACACTGCTCACATATTTTGATCAATTGATAAAGTTTTAAATCTCAATTACAGTACTATCTGCAACATAAAACATCTTTATTTTTATGTACTTGAATATCAGTTTTAAAACCACATAGGTTACAAAAATATACCACTGGTAGCAACAGGTCACGGAAGAAATAATTACATTTCAAAATTTGTAATAAATAATACTGAACGGAAATTGTTTACCCCCTATCAATAAAAATTACATATTTTTACAGTATTCCCAAGAGTATGTAACGTTTTCAATGGCATAACTTTGTTCCCAAATCAGTTTTTAGCGTAGCATGAGTAAAATATCCTAAGTTTCAAATCACCTCGTTTCTTAAACACGCGTGTATAAATGAAGGAATTACCTTTTGATTGAGGCGAAGTATTGGTCCAGGAAGTCCTTGGCATGCAATAGCACCTCCTCCTTGGGTCTAGCAGAGCCAGTGGTCTTGGCGATGTGTTGATAAACTACACTGCCCAGGCAAGCCTCCTTGGTACAAACTGCGCTCTGTAACACAGGGGAAACATTTTTGGGTTGTAGAAGGAAATACTGAAGTTATAACAGATATTATGGTAATAACAAAACAATGTAATAGATACCGTTACAAACATTTCATGAGGCATACAGACGACTTAAATTTACAATTTACTACTTAGATGACATATTTAACGGATACGGTTAAAAATACGGCGCATATAAGGTTAACATATTTTACAGATGGAAGATACCCCTAATACATACATACAGTTAATATGTTTCCGAACCATTTGTGTTTGAACACAAAACTAGTGAACAACAACGCATTGTTTGAAACTCTTTTTCACTAACAATAATTATTTCTTTATCTTGGTTACTTGGAACAAAACCTACCCGTTTTTAATCATCCGGCTGCAATAATGATCATGACAGTTGAAAAAAAGTATAAACTGTACGTATGTTGTGTACTTTTATTGGAGACTGCAACAAAAGCAATAATATATTAATTAATCAAGTAATAATCATAAATGAAGCAAGTAGAGACATTTGAATTCGTTAATTAAGACTTTAAAGATAAATGTATACTATGTATACATATGTATACCTTGCTAATCCTTCAGCTATTTTTTAAGTAAAGGTGGTATCTTTATGTAGGCTATATATTACATATATTTTTCTATGTATTTAATCATTCTGTGTAATTGACCTTTCAAAACACAATAATACAATACAAAACAATTAAATATAATTCCAGAATAGTAACCAAACGAATACGCAGGTAGAAGTATAAAATATGTCCTGTTTCCTGACAACGTATGGGGTAGGCCACGCCATTGGCTAGAGTTATCCGTCTGATCTATATTGATGTATGGGGCAACATTGGGGGTTACCATATGTCATGTTTTGGCATTCCAGCTTTTCGCATTCGTTTTTACACATGTGTTGCCAAAAAGTGGTTTGTTTATCTACACATCAACGAGGGGAACGATTTGTTTCGCATAGTTATTTATATGCAATACAATACCCATTATTTCACCTTCAATCTTTGTTTAGTGTTCACTTACTTACTATTAAAAACGTTTACTTGGTGACACCAAATTAATTTCCTTGTAAATATATTTTAAAGAATACACCATGTAAACTGCTGCAAAATTCCATACTTTGATTTTACTCTTTTTTATTACGGTAAAGCAGACACAAAGGCAAACATCCAGTTACCCATTAAATATTTAGGGAAACTTAGGAAAAGAAACCTCAATAACTTTAAAGTGTTATCAAATAGTAAGCCTATTTACTTAGCTGTATTGGTTTAAATTTAATATTGTTTCTTAAATTAATTAAGTTCGAGTCATTTATATTAACTACCAAGTAATATTGAAAGCAAAAGTATTGAATGGAATCTATTCAAAATTTAAGATGATAACATTCTTGTCTTCAAGCTTTAATTTTTAAAGCTTCACTAGATATACGTACTGTATATTTTTATTACTTTGATGATTCGCTGTATAAAGGTAAATTGACAAGCAAAACAAAGCGAAAGTACAGAATGCATAATAGGCATGAGAATGAATAATAAGCTATTAACATTATAGTAATATTAATATAAGTCTACTATAATAGCTCATAGGTATTTATTGTGAAGAAGCAGTTATAAACCTATAAATTAATTACACTGTAAGCCAAAGAAACTAATCAAGTAAGCCTAATGTGATTAGGTGTATACAAACTTAGTTTGTATGAATATAAGACATGAAGCATGAAGTGTAAATATAAAACAATTACCTTAAAAAATGTTTAAATACTCTAACAATAAAAGTTAAAAAGGTATTAAAAGTTTTTAAGTAAAATAAAAACATCTATTGAATTAGGTTGTATGACATACATTCAAAATGAACTAGCAAATTATAAACTAACTAGGGAAAGGCAAAGGCCTTTTCAGAACATAGCTAGTTCAAAAATACTTGACTTGAAATAGTTTTCTGTACATTAATTGTACAATATCCAACTTCATTTGGCCCTGCAGTGTGCTATAGAGACGGTCTATTGTGCGTCAGTCCACGCTACCGGCCTCTTGTATGAGCTGTACCGCTGCATGCAGGCCAATTAACAATGACCTGTAGTTTACATATAGGAATATTATGATGAACGACAAATAAAATCATACGACGAGCTGCAACCACGACTTATATGGTGCGTATCAACTTACAAAACCGAAAACGAACGAAAGGTTATAGGAAATAGTTTCCTTCCAAAATGTTTGTCAACAAACTTAATTGACAATTGAATCATTGATGCTACATATTCAATATCGTGGTGTAACATGGAAAGTGTAATAAATAAATATAACTTTATTCAATCATCATTCTATTTCAAGGCCGAATCTTGATCACATAAACAATAATTTTGAATACACATAATTTCATAACAGTAATATTACAAAAAAAATCTTATTCAGGAATTATTTTAGAATGTAAAAATCCGGTTAAAGGTACGTAGTTCAAGACTCGGCATTTCATTTCGTTGTTGTGGAACAGTTAAGTCGTCCGATCCTGTGAAATGTCCCTGTGCATTTACTAATTTAACAAATATAACCTAAATATTTGAACCTAACAAATATTGTGGTAAAAGCTACCATTATGATACCACACCCCATTACAAGCTAATCATTATAAGATAATTTGTGATTTATCTAGCAATCATATACCTGTAATTGTCTACTACATAATCTGTCGTAGGATGTCTCTCCAGACTGGAGATTCCTCAGAGGTATCATTGTTCCGAAGTCAACCAACAACGTTCAAAACTATCACTATATCACTCTTGTAGCTTATCACTACTGTTACAAACACACACACACGGGCGCACACACACACAAGCAAGCGCGTTGACCAGTTACTGCGCAACACAATCACAACACAATCGCGTACGAGGATCGGAAAAGACTGAGATGTGATGCCCGCAGGAAGGGGAACTTATTACAAGGCAAAGTGAGTCAGACTCTCACAATGTGAATCGCCTTAGTTTGGGATTTACGTGGTTTCTAACCAACATATGTGGTTAAAAAGACTTCCTAAAGTGTGTAGAACAAAAGTAAGGAATATTAGTATAGTTAAAAATTAAAAGTAGTGGAGAAATTACTCCAAATTAGTTTACTAGTACTTAAAATTGAATAATATTTGCGAACCAAACTGTAACATATATATAATAAAAACATTTGTTTTTAATTACAATGATTGCAATAGTTTAAGAATGTATTGAAAAAATAATAGTAAAGAAGAAATAATAGTAGTAGAAAATAATAATAGTAGGAATAGAATAATAGTAGTAAAGAAAAAAATAATAGTGTAGCATGTCCACATTCAGAAGGTTCCTTACTGGTAGTGTAAGCAACTGGTTATATGTTGTCTTGTGGGTTTCAGAAATATCTGTATAAAGGTTCAGTTTTGAAGTTTTCAATGTATAATAACGACTAAATGCATCATGTGGAAAAAGGGATTTAAAAAATTAAAGGCAAACTTGAATTTTTGTGGTTTGTTAGAAAGAATTTTTGATACATAAGTAAGATTTAACCAACGTGCTATTTAAAGGTATGGGTAAAATGTGTATGGACCTAGTTCTAGTAGCTTAGGATTATTACTTTATTCCTAGATCCCATTTTATTTTTGTACAATTTATTTAATGAAGATTTAATACAGTTGTACTCGAATATACGTTATATCATAATACAGATTTTTATTGTAAATTACTAATCAAATTACATTGATGAAGCAATAAAAAGTTACAAGAAAATATATAAAAATGTTTACCACTTTTTCCTTCTATTTGAATACACAGTACTACTGTAGCAAAATGTTAGCCTTGATAACCAGTTCTGGTAAAACCGTTGGTTGAAACGGGTTTGTTCCTAGTCAATGGGTTTCCTCAGTTGATATTGCACTACGTGTGACGTGGCCAATATGTGTAGAGAGGTGAGTGTCTCGTGTAGCTCCAGTGACGTCACAGACGAGCCCACTAGCAGAACTGATTACACTAATCGATCACACTTATTATCATCGCTCTGTATGTTCAGTACATGCCACCGCGCAAGGCCATCTAGAGGGGAACTCCATCTACGTCATACCCGTGTAACATTCGGTAAACTAACCTCTCGTTCAGTGGGAATAGCAAGTTATGTTTCAATAATGTATTTTTGAAATGTTAAATACTTAGTGCTACGTGACAGAGTCATTTAAAAAAATTTTACATTACCATTTAAACATCATTAAGAGGACGAGGATATAGTATACAAATTTTATAGCATAAAATTAGATTACTTTGGAAATGTTGCACTTAAAATTGATGGATAAATAAAAAATATCGTTTTCTAATGTTCTAAACATCAGATAAAGTGTTGAACACTAGTGTTTGATCAATATTCTAAATTGATTAAGAGCATAATTGTTAATGTGATAAATGACTGCCAAAAGGTTTCACTATTGATGATTATTGATTCAAAACAAACAGTTTGAGGTCTACACATAATATGTTAAGTTAAAATTACACCTTGCTCTCATTAGTAATTCCTATCTAACTAACTGACTAACAAGTTTCCGCTTTCTTAAATAAGAAGATGAATATCCCAGTTGGTGATATACTCAAAGCATTAAGTAGGCTTACTCATTACAGGACAACCCGTATCATGAGTGTGAGTAGGAAAGTCCTAGTGGTTTCCTCAAAACCAGAACACTTCGCTAGTTTTATCGGACCCTTCCTCTCTTGGTTTCCTTAATAGTATTTTTGGACTATTCTTTTCCTTAACTGAGATGATTAACACATCTGACGTATACATACTTGTTAACAATTAGTTTTATGATGTTATGCTACTCTTAAATTTATAATGGCATTCTAGTACCATCACTATAATTTCACTGGAAACAAAAAACTAATTACGAAAACTATGTCTAAAATATAAAAAATCATACGGATCTACATTATTTTAACAAATGCACATAATAGTGTAGTCATATAGTATAGCTAGTATGTATCAAAAC